ACTCAGTCCCGCCACTTCACATGAACCCGACCCCCCTCTCCCGCCGCCGGGTCACTGCGAAGTCTATCGGGTACCTTGCCCCGCCCCCTGGCCATCGCGCAACTTGCTCTCAGCACGCACTCCCTTCCCGGGCCCTCATCGCCCCCTGGTGTCCAGACTGTACACGCAGTAACTTCTTCATTAGAGCCAAGCCTTTCCCTCTCTCCTGTTCCTTCCAATTAAAAACAAAAACAAACAAAAAAATTAATGTAATTATCAGCTCTTGGGTGTACAGTTTGACCTGTTATTATTCTGCCTTGGTTTCTTTTTGTTGTGGAGTAGAACTGGATTATATACCACAATTTGTTTACTCAATTTCCCAGTTGGTGGGCATTTTTGTCGAGTTACTAGTTACTGTGAATAAAGGCTTCTCTTGAGGAAGTCATCTGTAGATACGGTTTTTCTTTACTTTTGGGTTAGGGTTAGGGCCGATGTATATTTATGCATGTAGTTGTGAAAGGAGTTAGCCTAAAGAGCAGTGCGGGTGTAGGGAGGCCTGTGGATATCGAGACTGTAGAGTGTATATGCCAGCAATAGCGAGCTGTTTCTGAGCTCCTGGATTGCTTTTAATCAGCCATGTGCCCGCACGCTCCCATTTCTATTGTCTTATGCTGGCATCTGTCAAACACACGTGGCCGCTGGTCTACGTAGGGGCGGGGCGCAGAGAGGAGCTTCCAAGGGAAGGAAGGGGGAAGCTGAAGGCTTCGTTGGAAGAGCTGGGCTGGAGGCGGTCCCACTGGAGAGAAAGGAGGCGGTCCGAGTGTTTCAGGAAATCTCTCCCCTAGGCGGTGAGCTTGCATTGAATCTCTGGGTTGAACCAGAGGTCCTTGCCTGGCATTCCAGAGGAGGAGGAGAATACTAGACAGGCACGATTAGCTGCAGTGAGCAAAACAGAGAAAAAGGTTAAAGTGTTTGTGGAAATCTGGAGCGGAAAAAAGAGACAGGCGTGTGAGTGCGGGAGACTTTAAGTACTTACGGCCACTGGCCACTAGATGGCAGGATAATTCCGGTTTGAGTCAGGGAAAGCCTGCCACAATCCATTGTCCTTTGAGGAAAGCTGCGCTTCTTTATGGCTGGACTGGGATTGGGGGCAAGACATGTTCACTATTTCACGCCAGGGATACAGGGGGCTTCCAGGAGCATCTGGAGTCAGGGCAATGACAGCGGCTACCAATAGTCCAGGTGTTTAGCAAGTACTTTGCTTGGGGTCTGAAGTGGGTTGTTCATTGTCCACTTTTCTCTCATTGGGCGGGGAATGCAGGCAGACGAGGTAAAGGCTCTGAAACTTTTAAATCCTAGTGGGGCAAGATGCCTCACCCAGCCCGCTGACACCGGACTGTGTCATGAGACTGACTTCATGATTCCAGAGTCCATAGAAAGTTCTTTATAATAGACAGTTTAACACTTCTCTCTGTCACACTGAACTGTGGTTGAAAGTCTTGGCTAACACGACTTTGCTAGTTTCAGTATGCAAGACAGTGTGGCTCTGTAATATTTATCGAAAGTGACTCCTGACACGTGGTGTCACAATATGGCCTGCCCTTTAGGACGGTGATCACTTTTTAAAGGACAGATCTCACAGCCTGAAGACAACAGGCCAGGCCTCTCTGCAGCTATCTGTGGGACCAAAAGTTAAGAAGCTAGCTGTCTGTGCTGTGGCCTCCGCGGGTATTCTCTGATTAATGGTTCTGACCAGTATTTGGCTCCTCCATCCTCTTTGTCATGGATGCTATGTTGAACTAATTTATATGGTATGAAATGCACCCCCCCATTTCCTCAAAACTTACATAGAAAGCTCATATTTTCACTGTTTGTAGGATTACTTTGGAGACGTTCTCTGAAGAGGCTCATCTGCCCCCACCGATGCCTCTCCTGGCAGTTTCTCTCTCTCTCTCTCTCTCTCTCTCTCTCTCTCTCTCTCTCTCACTCTCTCTCTCTCTCTCTCGTTCTGGGACTTAAAGGCATGTGCTACCATCGCCCGGCTTTATTCTTTTAAAATATATTTATTTTATGTGTATGTGTGTGTGTGTGTGTGCCTACATATATGTATGTACACCACATGTATCAGGAGCTCATGGAGGCCAGAAGACGGTGTCAGATCCCCTGGAACTGGAGTTACAAGTTGTTGTGAGCCTACATGTAGGTGCTGGGAATTGAACCTGGGTCCTCTGCAATAGTGGTAAGTACTTTTAAGTGCTGAACCACTGTTCCAGCCTCATCTTATACTCATTCATAATAAAGCCCCTCTCGAATTTTTTTCTTTTTGAGACAGGGTTTCTCTGTGGAGCCTGTCCTGGAACTCGCTCTGTAGTCCAGGCTGGCCTCAAACTGAGTGATCTGCCTGCTTCTGCCTCCTGAGTACTGGGATTAAAGACACGTACCACTATGCCTGGCATTATTTTTTTAGTGTTTGAGGCAGGGTCACACCATGTTACTCTGGGTGGTCGGAAACTAATAACTGAGCCCTGGAACTTGTTATGTAGAACAGGCTAACTTCAAACTCACAGAGATCCATCTGCCTCTGCTTCTTGAGTGCCAGGATTAGAGGCATGCACCACACTTAGCTCCCTCTCCAGGATTTAATGGGAAACCTTTTTCTCCTCTTTTGGGGTCAGCTATTGTCTCCACTTGCTCCCATATATTTAGTGACTGTATGGAAAATGGAAGAGGAATGAAATTAAAACACAAATATTATGACTTCAGCAAGTCCTAGGGGGGTGATTGTCAACAGAACCCTCAGATAGGTTGAATACTCCAGGGAAGAGTCAGGTGTGCCTTTAGAATCCCAAGAAGGAATGACCATGTGGTATATCTTGTGACAGGGGCTCAGAGGCACTCCAAGACTCAGTGTGATTAGCAATTGCCTCCCAACAGCAGGAAGCAGGCAGTGCCTCTGATGCCTCTGTGTGGGTCTTCAGTTCCCACTGAGTGTAAGCAGTGCTATAGGAATCGGTCATGATGGAGCAGAAGGCACTGGATTAGTACCTGGATCATTGACAGTAAGGGTCAAGGAACTCTTCTGTGAAAGTTTAGTTCAGATTTCAGATGTGTGTGTGTGTGTGTGTGTGTGTGTGTGTGTGTGTGTGTGTGAGAGAGAGAGAGAGAGAAAGAGAGAGAGAGAGAGAGAGAGAGAGAGAGAGAGAGAGAGAGAGAGAAAGAGAGAGGTGTGCATAGGTGTAAATGCAAATTATCTCCTTTTTATGATTTTTGTGTGTGTATATGTATAAGCACACATTAGTTTATGTGGATCAGATGCATACAGGAGCCCTTGGAGACCAGAAGAGGGTACTGGATCACTTGGAACTGGAGTCACCGGCAATTGTGAGCTACCATGTGGGTTCTGGGAACTAGATGGTGTCCTCTTCAAGAGCAAGCCTTCTTAACTACAGAGCCATGTCTCCAGCCACCCCTTCTTAAATTTCTTTTTGAAATTAATTTTAAGTGTTTGTAGGTGTGTGTGTGTGTGTGTGTGTAGGTACATGTGAGTGAAGGTGCCTGAAGAAACCAGAAGAGGGTGTTGGATCCTCTGGAGCTGGAGTGGTGGTTGTAAACTGCCCAATGTTGGTAATGGGAACTGAACTCACATCCTCTGTAAGAGCAGTGTGTGTCCTGAACTGCTTAGCCATCTCTCTAACCCAATTATGGTCTTCTACTCTGGATTATGATCAGGGTTGTTAAGTCTGGAGCTCAGGAAACACAATCTGCAGATTCTATCGTGGGCCGAGCATCAAACTGCTCTGTGTGTTCTCAGCCTCTAACTATGCGACCTCCAGTGATGGAGCCACCCTTCCTCCCTTCTGTAAAGTGTGGACAGTATTATTAACTCCTAGGTGTGGTGATGGCTGTGAGTTTGTGTCTGTGAGGAAAAGGTAAACAGTTATTACTGTTGCTGGAAAATTTGTGTTTCTTTCTCTCACTCTCTTATTAGTGTGGCTGACATAGACAAACAATGATGACACGGATAACAGTTTTGGAGCCAGCAGTGGCAGGTATACAAGTTACTAGTCTTGTAGCTGTGTGTCAAGAAGTGAATTAAGGGGCTGGAAGATGATGGCTTAGCAGCTAAGAACACTGGCTACTCTTGTACAGGACCCAGGTTCGATTCCTAGCACCCACACTGTGGCTTATAACCATCTGAAACTCCAGTTTTAGGGGATCAGATACTCTCTTCTGGCCTTTTTGGGCTCTGTATACTCATAGGGGCACAGACATACATGAGAGCAAACATTCATACACATGAGATGAAAATCAATCAGTTTTAAAGGAAGAACTCTGCTCTTGCAGAGGACCCAGAACCATTCCCAGCAGCAACATGTGGCTCACAACTGTCTGTAACTCACTTCTAGGAGATTTGGCTCTTCTGGTGGCCTCTAGGCTTTCCTCTTCTGGAACTTGATTTTATTACCTGGGAAATGAATTGGTTAGCCTATCCCTATGCTTCCCATCAACTTTCTATCAAGGAGACTGAAAGCCCTTTGCTAATTACGAAACATACCGTGAGCCGAAGTTGGAAGTGTTGAGGGAAGGAGAGCTCAATTCTGAGGCTGAGTCAGCTTTCTGCTACTATAAACGGGTGCCCATGCCCATTAACTTAGAAGGGAGGAAAAGCTTTACCTTGGCTGAAGGATTTAGAAGTTTCAGCCCACGATTCATTGCCTGTCACTTTTGGGTCTGTGGGAGGCAGCACACCACAGCAAAGTGTGCAGCTTGGGAAGCCACTAATTTGAGGGCAGGGGAGAAGCAGAGAGGAGGAGCTGGGGCCCCAATATCTCCTTCAAGAACACTCAGTTTCTTCCTACTGGCTCCCACCCCTTAAAGGTTCACCATCTCCCTGCAGTGCCACAGCTTGGGGGCCTTTGGCCGACTTGGATCCAAACCTTGGCAGGGCCCTTCTGAAGACTGATGGCTGT